TTGGGTCCACCCTGTCCCCACACCACCCGTAACGCTGTACAAGTTCCAGCAAGATACTGAATATCACTGCAGGCTGACCGTTTGACCGATCTGAAAACCCTTTGAAACGCTTGATACCGGCCATCTGGCGAACGACTGTCGAGTTTGGTAGCGTTTGAAGAAAGACTTGTGGAGATATAGATGTTAATTGATTGAGCATATTCTAAAAAAAAGTGACTGACTTCTGAATTGACCATAGGTTGCAGTGAGGCAAACGTGCTGAAACAATTTCAGCTCTCTAGGACATACAGATGATTTTCTTAGATTTTTTTGAATTTAGGAATGAGAAATGTCAAGAAATTTACATTTCTTGTAATAAGCCACGCCCACTTTGAACAATCATTACCAAATTTTATACATTTGCTGAGTAGTGACCCGAGATCATACAAACCGAATTTCGTACAAATCCATCCAGCGAATTACGAGGTATAAACTTTTTGAAAGTGTAGCGCCACCTAATGGAAGAATATCCCAGGACTGCTCAGCGAAGCTCGGGCCGAGCATCTGAGCAGACGTATCAAGTTTAATAGCTTAAGCCAATTTTGATTTATGGGCATTTATGTAAAATTGTATGTAAAGACACAAAAGTAAAAATTTATGAAAAAACTAAAACAAATTGACGTATCAAAATTCTTTTGATAACTTTTGATCAACAACGTCCGTAGATGATCCTGCCAAAGTTTCAGGTCGATTGGCGAAACTGTCTGGGACGAGTTCACAAAAATAGGTTTTAGAGAAAAGTGATAAAAAGTTGAAATTTTTAGAGCAGAAGACCACAGGAGCAAAGATGAAGATGAATCCAGAGATTAAAATACTGAAAAAAGTTTGACTCTAAACAAAGCCGTTTTCGAGATAATTGCATAAACACAAAGGTGATTGTTATAGCGCCACCATGAGGTCTATGAAGGCCTTTTTTTTTTTTGCCTGAGTAGTGGGTGGAATTTGCAACCTATGTGCCAATTTTGGTGAGTTTTCGTCCAGCAGTTTTTTCTGCCCAAACAATTTTAACTGAGAAAAAGAAGAAGAATCAGAACAAAACCAATAGGGCTCCAGCAGCTTCTTTGCTTGGATCCCTAATGATAAAAGGAAGAAACAGCGGCCAGACTCCATAGGCTGGATCTATCCTGAGCTGTGTGCACTTCTCGCTCATGTTTTCCTATTTCCCTTAATCTCCTTTAACACATCTAATGGAAAGTTAGGTCAAAACTGTGAGACGCAAAGCCAACTGTCCTTGATATCAGCATCAAAACTAGATATATCTGTGTCATAACAACACAACGCTGGGTTTTGTGCCTGCAGAATGAATTATACAGCACAACTGGGTAGCTAAGAAGTTGTATTTTTTGGAGAGTAAAACAGCACAGTAAACAACTATAAAAGTTGTCAGGCTTCATAATGACATGCAAGTATGTTGCTGAGAGCGGCACTCTGTCGCAGGCCAAATACTGTAGAGTGAACTACCTCTGCACTCATCCTTGTTTAACTGGTGCAGCAAAATAAGTCGCCCTGATGTCCGAATAGATGCAAAGTGGCTTGAACTGAAATATTAAAAACCTCATATTAAAGTTCTTATATTCATTCATGTCAAATTCAAAACTATAATTGCTGTTTTGGCAATACCTTCATCAGTGTGCAGACATCAAAATCTCAGTCAAGACGGAGGTAAGGACTGTCAACCTGAAGGCCATTATCGTACATGGCACTTTCCTTTCGTGCTCAGATTCAAGGCTCTGGGCCTCCGTGGCAGCACAGAAGATGGTTTTATATGATACATGTTCATGTATTCTTTATGTTGATACGCTAACATGTCCCTTCCTAATCTGTAGTGAACACAGCGGATACTTTTTCAGATTCATAAAGACAGTTGAATGTGTCTATGAATGATGACAGCATTTTCAAACATAGTGTTAACTGTCTTTTTGCTGCTGAATGATTACTTACTTATACTTCTTATAAGTCATGTTATGAAAACATTTAAGCACATTCATTTTAGCTGGTACGCTATCTATCTCGCTAGTGACTGACCCTGATCCAAGGCACTCAGTTCTGAAAGCTCTATCAATTATTTCCTCTCAGATTGCCTCTCTGTCCTGACCTGTTACCATCACATTAACACATCAAACCTCTGAACTCATGATGAGCCACAGTCACAAGATAAGGTAAAAAAAAAAAAGAGCTAAATGTTAGCTTAGTGCTTAGCTAAACTTTAAATCTGTTTCCAAATTTGTACAGCTTCAGCCCACCAGTGGCAGCGCGGAGCGGTAAGAGTGAGAAAGGAGTGCGAAATCTTAGATTTTTACAGTACATGGTTTGTCTATATACTATGTGACTATGTCATCCCGTCTCCCGTTGTGTTACTTTACACCAGACTTATTTGTCACAAAGAAGATTCCGATTCATCCAGCATCTTGGTCCCTTATGCTGGCCGCACACTAGAGGATAACTGGGAGGATTTTGGGTCCAATTCGCCCCTCCCAACAGCCGAAGCTGGTCGTAACAGATTCTCGCAGACAATAAGAGCGAGCTGACTGGAAAGTGTCACGAACGTGTTGTGTATTTGCTATTAAACATTTGGTTAATTCTGTCATTATGTCTGTCGTATCCCAAGATTTGATTTGAAGATTTGAAAATCCTCTAGTGTGCTCCCAGCATTAGATTTCATGAATGCTTGATTCACTGTAATGTCCAGGTGCTGAAATGTTCAGAAATGTGCTGCATCAGAGCTAGATGCATACAGTACACTGTGTTGTGGGATAGGTTTGAGGCTTTGGAGAAAAACTAGAAGACATAAACTTTAAGAGCTTCAGCAACTGCTCTGCTTGCTTTGGACGAAATCCCATTCCATGAGACTTTTCTCAGTAACTTACATTATCATATTAATCACTGGGAAACTAAACTGTTTAGTTTCCTCAAGGTGATGTGAAGTTTTATTCTTCTATTAGTTATTCTTTGTCTGAGGTGACATAATTCATGATGCAAGTCAAGACATGTCCAACCTAGAATGCACATTGGCACGCCTTGCTCCTTCAAATAGAAGGTGAAAAGCTCTGTGGAGACAGACCCTTGACTTTAAATCAGTTAGAGCCCTTTAAAAAATCCAGGTAATTACTAAAGAATTAACTGTTTTGTCTAGGAAGTTTGGCAGGTGTCAACTCGACACACTACCTGTTTTTCACAAAAGCTAGAAGAAAACTTCACCAGGCTTTGATATAGTATGCTAATACAGTTACAGATATAACAAGCATAAATGATATTAAACCTCATCATCAGTGGCTACTAAGAGTCACTTTCAACTTCTAACACCTTTGGTCAAGAACTGAGTCTTTTACTTTCAAACCCTGAAACATCACACAGCTCCAACAGCCTTGATTGTCTCTGGCCTTTACACGTCTCCCAATGTCTTGAAAAATCTCCGAAACACGGTTGGAGCTGGACTTTCTTTCCTCAAGCTGTCCTCCTCCTGTTTCATCATCTTCCCCTCTTTCATCTTGACCTCTCTCTCTTGCCCTCTCTCTCTCTCTCTCTCTCTTGCCCTCTCTCTCTCTCCCTGTTGCTAATGGACCTGATGGCCTCATCAATAATACACCCAAACATGCGTCTGCTTCAGCTGCGTCAGACAACAATGAACAGCTTCTTCATGCTGCTGTGTGTGCGTTTCTGTGTGTGTCACGCGTGCGGCCTAACCACATCCACTCTCACCTCTTTTTGTAGCTCTACTGTGGATCACTGGTTTATCTAACTAGAGCACAACAAAGGTAACAGGATCTATATTGTCTGTGTGTGTGTGTGTGTGTGTGTGTGTGTGTGTGTGTGTGCAGTGACTCATGTTGTGCATGTTGCAGGACAACGATGTTTGCTTTGCAGAAACCATGTATGTGCAAATATTAGGCTTTGTCCACGCCTAAAAGTCAATTTCAGGAATCGAACCAATACGAGGATGATGCATTGTTTAAGGCAAAAACTCAAACGGTCCAGAAATTGTAAACAAACGCCATGTGGTGTAGATGTTAGTCATAAGGTCAGCGTTGGGAAGTGAGTGGGCCACAACTGCAAACCCCGGCAACTTTGGTTTTCTTGAACTTTTGCTTGTATGTAGCATGTAGGGATATGCATTAATTCATTCATTCATATGGATTCTGTAAACATAAGATGCTTTTATGATAGGCCTTTATAGCCATTTGCATGGGCCAACTTTTTTTGCATGTTTGCAATCGATGCCCACTTACTTCACTGGTCCACTTTTGACAAATGCAAACAAGTCGTATATGATATGATCCATGATAAGACCGTATGATGCAGAGTTTCTTCCTCGAAATGCCTGCATTATTAAATTTTTAATACATGAGGCGTTCATCTGCGCTGTCCTCTAAAGTCTGCTGACCAACACCAAGTAGAAAAAAAGATTTGGAGAGGTTTGTTGTCTTTTTACCCACTGACTGTATGACCAATCATCGAACAACATTTCCACCATTTGAGTTTTGCCTTTGTAAACGCAAACTGGGCCGGATGGAAAATGAATTATCCTCGCACTGGTTCCATTCATTCTTTTTAAAATACCTGTATGTTAGAGTGTGATGAAAGACAAAAAACAACCAAGGTTGGAGACACTCTTATACTCACAACTGCCCACAGACCAATGTGATGGAGCCGTATCGCGTCTCTTGAGTTCATTGTTTTGGTTTCACAACATGCAACTGTTTTGGTTCTCTGGCTTATAGAGAACCCCAGAAACTAATTAATGGTGCTTTAAAGACGAATGTTCAACGTACTGAAGAATAAATATGAGATAATGTCAATTTGTTTATTTATGGAGTCAATGTGACATTTTAAGTCAGTATTATGAGACACTATATCGTACTTATGTCTTAGTGAGTCAAAACATTGACGTAATAGCTCATAATAATGACTTGTTTTGATCATTTCTAACATATGCATCTCTTTTTCCTCTCCCTTCCATACAGAACACATGTTCCTGCTGGTAGGCTATCTGCTTGTAGGGCTGGAACGTTCTTCAATGTATTAATTAGGTGATCTACAACAAATTAATCAACCAATTTGGTGAGTGATTCATCTTTTATTAAGATGCTAAACATTCTGTGGTCCAAGCTTCTCATATGCAAGGCTGGGTTATGTGAAACATCCCTGGGGCCCCAGACACTCAGAGGCCCCAAAAAGCATCCAGTTCTCGGGTGTCAGTTTGATTAAGTGCAGATTTGTTTTGAAATATGTGCCCACTCAAGTACAAAGTGAGCCCTGCTTTATTAGATAATCTTGTGGCCCTGCCTTATATTGTCAGAACCATAGTTTCAAGATTTTTAGTTTATATGCTGCTCAGATGTTCCCAAATAAGGGGCCCAAAAAAATGATTTATCCTGAGGTCCCTAACAGTTCATTCTGACCATGCTTAAAGAGAGTCTCTGGTAAATTTTAGATGGTATTTTCACTATTTTCTTAAATTGTATTGGTCAACAGAATTTATTGATTAATTGACAACATGGCCATAATGAAGATAATAATTTGTTGCAGCCCTAATTTGACCTTTCAAGACTTAAGGGGTTTGAAGAGAGCCTACTTTTCCCACTATGAGCCCCACTGTGTGTGCTTCAGGATGCCGCATCTCTGCCTTACCCAGTCCTCGAAGTGCTTGCTGCCGTTGTGCAGGATGTCCTCGAACTGGATGATGCAGTTGGCCACGAAGTCGTCGTAGCCGATGGGCGCGTCGTGGAAGACGGACAGCTCGATTCTGCGGCCGTCGTGGACCTCAGTGGTGAACTCATCATTCCACGCTGGGCTGTTGTTCTTCTGCTTGGTGGAGGTCTGGCCCACGCGGGAGTCGTCCACGTTCAGGGCGATGTACGTGTCCAGGAGGAAGCTCTGGGTCTTTGGACCGACGGCGTGACGCAGGGACCAAGCCGTCGGTTTGAGGTCCAGAGCCTCGCAGATCTTGATCTTCAGCTGCCCGTTGAAGATCACCATGGTGGTGACGGCGACCCCTCGATACTTGATCTGTGACTTGATTAAAGGGAAACCACCCCCACCTTTCTCCTCAACCACTCCAAAACAATTAACTCCTGCAGCGGTGTGAATAACAGCTCTGTTCAACCGGTGGTCCTCCAGGCAGATTCTTCCAGTTCAACTATGAAGACGTAGGCCAATTTATTTATTATTTTGGTCTTAATTGTTTTTTTGGTTTACACTTGTCCAATATGCTACAACCACAAACCCCCTCAAAATATAAACTGTTGCGACAGAGAAGCGAGCGTTAACCCGGGGGAGCTTAAAAGTGCACGGAAGAAACATGAACAGCCTCCAACAGCACCGAGTTAGCAGAAAACACACGAGCAAAGGCCCCAGATGTGGATCGGTCTGTCATGGTTATTACCTTCGAGGTATTAAAAAGCTCCGTTAACTGTAGCGGGGCAGCCTGGAAGCAGTAGCCTGCGTTGCATTGCACCGTGCGGTGCGTGGAAGGCTCCAGATGCCAGCTGGGAGTCTCCGCGGCGCATCGGGGATGTTCGAGCCGAACCGCTGCGACCAGACAGCGGCTGATAACAACCGCAGCAGGGGCGGAGAGGAGGGGCAGATTCAGGCGGTAGGTGAGTGGGTAAAGCGACGATTCCAGCTGCTCCTGCACGGCCTGGTTTCAGCCACTGCGGTTGATCTTAACTTCCCGTGGACATACCTCTGGCTGCCTCCCCCCCCTCGACACGGCTCTCAGTCTGCGTCTCTCTCTCTCTCTGGTGCAGGAAATGCGAAAAACACGTCAGATTTCTCGGAGTCTGGTGTGACAGACGGGGGAGTGAGTGCGACGCAACCCAGACTAGGGAGGTGTTTAGAAGCAGCGGGGCTGGGGAGATGCGAGGAGAGGAGAGGAGAGGAGGAGAGAGGAGAGGGGGGACGACGGATAAAGTGGACAAATAAAACGCTTTACATTTAGGCTTTCACTTCCTACTGTTAACAACAAACTGTTGAAAATGCAGGAAAACAGGTGTGAAGTGCGACGTGAAGCCCATTCATCCGCTCAATTAAGGCCAACTCCATAAAAGATCTTAGGGGATGAATGTGGGGATATGTGAGGCGTGCATGGAATTTCAGAGGTAACTGCATGCCATATAACTTATTAAAGAAATGGCCATAATGTGCAGCACTATGTTTGTATAGTCTACAGAAAAAATAATTTATATACAGCTAAAACCATCATTATCTCTAAATTGATTACATATAGCAAAATGCATTCAAATCACCCTCTGTTGATATATATGTATAGCCCATAGGCCTGCAGTAACCAATCACATAAGGGATCGTTGACGAGCATGAGCTAAATTTAGGAATTGATTTTGGTCTATGGATAAATTTCAGTTGTTTTACCTTTTTAATTTACTTATCCTCACATAACATCTTACAGAACAAACATTATCTTCCCTTTAGTGTGCCACCAGAATAATTCCCTGCACCTCAAAGACTGACTGATTGGAATATTTGGGATCTTTAGAAGTAATTTGATAACAAGTAACGTTGTAAGTCTTCATAGCTCATGTTTAAGCCACACCACTGTAAAATCAATGTTTTGAATAGCCTCCAGCCTCCACAATGAAAAAGTCTGCATGCAAGGGGGCAGCATGTGACATGGCAGACACAGGAGGAATCTGATTTTCTGCATTTTTCTGCAAAATTGAATTGCACAAATTCAATCCTCTGCAAGAAGATCACAGACCTCATGAGGTGATGTCAAATGCATTGTGTTCCCTTGTTACAACCTACCCCAATACCAATGTAGGTTGTAACACATGCTGGAGTAAGAAGCAAAAATAGATGCCACACTACGATATGCTTCAAAAATAGGTAGTTATATAAAAGAAAAATGTTTCTCTCTCACTGTGACTGTGTAGTGACTCGCACGCATGTACAGTATGTGTTTTTAAATGTATCTATAGCATAAACCTATTTAACAGTATACTTAATAAATACTACTAAAATGTACCTAATTAAAGACCATCACTTTACATCCTTAGGTCTGACTAAAAGGAGGTGTGTGTCTGTGTGTGTCAATGTGTGTATGTTCTTAATCAGAGTCACAGTCATCGCTTGAAGTGGGCCGGCTCATCGGTATGCAGTGCAAGCACTTGTATATTTTACTCTTTGCACTTCTTACAAGCTGCCCGTTTTCTTTTCTGCCCTCTCCACCGGCGGAAACAGAGTATGGAAAAGATGTGCCGATACAAGCACCAACATGTGAACAACATGTGAACGGGGAGTACTGGTCACAGTGCTGACAAATGAATGCTGGTAACCCTGGAGTGCAGGCTGGGTGGGCCCAGAATGCGAAGGGCACTCTGTAAAATATTAACATCAAGAAAGTCCCTGGTTTTATGTAAAGGGGATGATTGTAGTACAAAGTTTAGCTAGCTGTATTATCAAAGTGGTTTGAAATTAGAAAGGAAAAAATGCATGTTGCCAAAGAAACTACATTTCAATCTAATATAAATCAAACAGCGCTATCTGCAATATAATCTTTCTTACTTTCTTACCTCAAATTCTGTTTTTTCTCTATATATTCTGAATGTACCTGTTTCCAGACTTGATAACCACCATGCCTGATCTGGGAGGAAGTAGGTAACCACTGAAATGATCACCTCACTCCAATTTTATCTCTAATTAGTGGAATTGGTGTTGTTACAACTCACTCCATGTTACAATCATACCTATAATAGAGAATCATGGACTACATACATGAAACTGTGTGTGTTTGTCAGAACATAAGATAAAGGGTCAGGCATTTGCTTGACGTTATAGCAAATATCCTGGGTGATCAGTCTCACCTCGTGCACATTAATATGTCTATATCTATAGACTATCTGACACACTCAGTACAAGGCCAGCTGCAATTCACAGTTTACTAAGGAATTTATTAATTTATCTGCACACAAAAAGCATTTTACTGCATTCAACAACACATCATGGAGAGTGTATCACAGGGAGGCAATACTACGGCCCCAATCCTAATTCAAATCACTTATCAGTCAAGTGTCCACCATCTTTAGCTCCTTTTCAATTATGTCTCTATGTCCTGTTTTTCGCTTTAAAACTCGACTATACAGTTATTGTTTTTTTTTTCACATGCACCACATGACCCCAAAATGCATCACTAGATCTCCATAAAACCCCAGCATGTTGTCAACACATGGGGTGTGACTTGAACTCGAAAATATTCAGAAAATGTAGAAAGTGCAGCCAAAAAGTCTTTACAATCTGCCATCAACAAGTTAATGTGAGATGTGGAGTATTTTACTTGACCAATTAGAATTAACAACACAAGTGAAGAGAGAATTGATAGACTGTGGATGCAGATTTATTAACTGTATGAGGGAAATGATGAATAATTACTATTCATTGTGTCAGACAGCTGAAATGATGAATGTGACATCATGTCAAATCCAGTAGTTTCTGCGCAGTTCAGCATGTTCAAACCTTTGACACTGCTGACCCCTTCTGGTGATTGTTTGCAATTTCAAGCCTAAACCAACTCCTGTACCTGTGTTTATTGTGAATGTTATATTTTATATTCAGTACTTTTGTCTTTCTTTATTTGTTCTACTTACTGTGTTTATTGTTATGCACCAAAATAATCACCATCCAGATAGTTTGGATGTTCGCAATTTAAACTACAGAAAGACGAATAAAGGCAAGCATTTGGGAATGTAGACCTCTTAAGTTAAACAGGAAAATGAAAAGGAGCAGCTGGTGCAGGATAATGTAACTTGCTAACCATCTAGTGTAAGCTTGGTGGATGTTCAGTCTAGTTTAAAGTCCTTAAAAGCATTTTTTACCCTCCCGAGGCAGAAAAACTGAACGAAAAGCTTCATTTTTGTGCAAAAGGGCCCAGAAATAATATTCCTATGAGTGTGTGGAGGCTATGAAACAGAAGTAATACTCTTTCTCTGTGTTTCTCCATTATCTGAAAGCAACATTATCCTTCTGTCTTTGATTCTTCCACCTTGTTTTCTCATTAAGCACATCAGCCATGGTGTTTTTGAGCTCTGCAGATAGGAATCAATCACGGGCTGAGGAAATCCCCTGGACACCGGCCACGTCCTGCCTTCTCTGCTCTCTCACTGAGCTTGTTTTAAATCAAACGAACATGGCTTGGCAACAGTTGACAGGATCATACTGCAGTCGTCATCCTTTTGTAACTATGGTCACACCAGGACAGTAACATCCCCATTCGGAAGCTTGAAAGATACATTTATGTGGTTTTGCGGTTGCAGGAATGGCAGAAGAATTCTCACTTGCTGTTAATGAAATAAAATAAGAGAGACATTTCTAAATTCTCACTTTTTTTGAGAAGTCACATTTGTGATTGTATTATATAGTTGGAATTAAGTTCACCAGCGTCTGTACATTTATGTTATCAGTGTTTTCCAAATATGTATTTTAATGTACAAGATACAATCCAGAAAGGAAAGTCTGACTGTGAGAAAGTCCTACATAGATATATCTTAAAGCATTAACCATAATCTTTGTTTCACATATCATTTCATGTTTTTACCAGTGCTAATATTGTCCTATGTTGTTGGTGTCTTTTGCCTCTCCATACATTGTTATTCTTCTGCCATGTGTTTGATTTTTTATCTCAAATCAAACCAACAAGGACATTTTACAAAAATAAATGCCGCACAACATCAACAAGTGCTGGATTTTTACAACAATTCTTTTAGCTGTCATATGCATCTTTTGGCCTTTATCAGAGGACTCTTAAAACAGACTGCTTACAATTTCTTTTTTTTAAGTCCAACCTTTTTGGATCACTTGCATTTGCAGCTTTCAAACAGGAGGGGCCACCAAACATCAATCAGAAATATTTTTTTTAAATTATTTTCCCATGGCTCATTTAATTCTCCTCTCTGCCATCTACTAACTCTTTCCACGCACTCACTCTACATCTGTGTGTGTTTTAAAGTGTGTGTGTGTTCTTTCTACTTGTCTTTCTTGGCCGTGATGGCATATGTTTTATGGCACATCTGCTCTATTAAACACCACACAGCTGGCAGCGAAAGACATTAACATGAGCAGGGATAGAAAGATGATGAGCAGAAAGCCAATGACATTGCATGTACCTGCTCTGAATTCTGCAAATCCTCCTAATCCTCATTCATCCACGTCCCTCCGGTACACTTAGTTATTCCACTATTTAATTATAAACAAACTGTCAAAAATCAATATAAGTTTTTTTTTTTTTTCATTTTCCTCACAGTGGGTTCTTTGTGTAATCCAATCAATATCCCTACTTTGGCCCTTGGGGGAAGGTTAAGAACGATCTATAATAGAATTCAACTCAAGCAGCAGGAATAACAAGCCAAACCAATTTTCCACAGGCTAACAGTGAAGTTTAATTCCACTGTTTGTTGTCCCTTGGAGCTTTAAACTAGTAGATTTGTGCACAGAGGAGAGCTGCAGCTTGTGTTCATCAGGCCTTTTAGACCAGAAATGTTGAATAAGAACAAGTTGACAGGATTTAGATGGCTTTTATTCACATGTATTCAGCCAGACACACCACCAAAGAAAAATATCTTCAGATGAGTCCAGATGCGAGACAAGACCTTCACGCTGCACCATGTCTCAGAATACTGACACTTGTTACAAACAATTCATTTTATACCTCATAACCCACCAGTTAGCTAATGAATATTGATGTGGAAAAAATCATATCTCCACATCCTTGACCTTGTCATTTATCTCGACTTGCGAGGCGAAGTAGAACCCAGATCAGTATTCCCAACACAAGACATTTGATAAATACTCTCCCTATTTTAGAGGCGAAGCAGATGGTCTTGTTGCTGGCAAAATAGCAAGCAAAATTAGGGCAAAGAAAGAAGTGTATGTCAGCAGCAGCAGTAGCAGCAGAAGCAAGGTGTGCCGTACAGAGCAGGAGGTAGTGCTGTGTGTCCCAGGAGGGGTGTAGAAAGGAAAAGCCAGCCTGCAATAAACCAGCTGTTTCCTCAAGAAGGGCTGCCAGAATACCTGCTGTAGTCAGATAATATAGAATCTAAATAAGAATCTGCCAGAGTAATTAGCTCATTGCTAAATGTGATTCAAAACTGTGGGGAAGTGGCAAAGTAACTCAAATGATTTTTGATGGCTTCTCATATAAAAGTGGATGTAAAACATTTAAATAATGTAGATTAATGTGGCATGTATGAAGGAACAAACCCATGAAAATAAAAGCAAGTTAATACATATTTAACTGATGAAGATGGATCTTTCCCTGGTTTGCTGAACAGACTGAACGCCAGCAGTCACTGTGGGCGTTCTTGATTCATTCATTTATCTTTTTCCCAAAATTATCTTTTTTCCTAAATCTTTATCACAGACCATACACTGGAGTTTGCATACTGTCTCCTGCTGTATATTGCAGTCAGAGTTGGTTTCTTTTAACAGATACCCCAATCTTTATCTAACCTTAACTGAGGAGCTGCCTTTAATAATCAGACCTCACCTCTAACCTACTGGTTAAACCTGTTTAAAACTAATCCATATCTCCAGGAAAAAGTGCCTAAAATAGCAACTTATTTCTCTTACCATTCCAGAGTAAATGAAAATGCAATGCAAGTGACATTTCCATCCTCGCCTAGTATAAAATCTAAATATATGTAGATAATAATGCAATTAAATGTCTTCTCCTACAGCTTGACTACAACTGTAACTGTAAATTTAATGAAAATAATCTAAAATACAACATTTATGATACAATTTATAAAGATATACCCAGGCGGTCTCCATGTTTTGGCCATCTATTTACATGTTGACTGTTTAGACAGAGATTTTCTTCAAAACACAATTTATTTCTATATAACTATGTTACAAATAACATGAATCTACCAAAAACAAATTAAAATATTAATAAATACAATTAATTTTGATCAATATTCCTGTGAGCAAAGAACTCCATATTATACAAACAGAAAATAAAAGGTCTCAGTGATATCAAAATACTCTTGGTGAGTGCGACAGAATAGAGGCTTGTTTTTCAGTGTCAGTACCACAAGTCAGCCACAAGAAGGCGACAAAGAGTATGTTTGAGGGCATATAAACAGCAGAGATTATTTGGGAATAAACCTACGAAAACAGCAAAGGTAAGAGACACAATTTGTAGTTGTAAATGAGTAAACATCGAAAGTAGTAGAAAGCATCCTGACTGGAATCATCACAAACTGGCATGGGATGTGCACGGCCCAGGACCGGAGGGCTCTGCAGCAGGTGATGCTCACAAGAACATTGGTTCCCATCTCCCGAGCATCAGTGATATTAGTGAGCTGAGGTGCCTACGCAGAGACCAAAGGATACTAAAGGACAGTACCCATCCAGCCACAGCCTGTTCACCCTGCTGCCTATAGACGTTTCTGCTGCCGCACCACCAGACTGCAGAGCAGCTTTGTCCCCCAAGCTATCAGACTCTTAAACTCTAATTCATCCTCAGCACTGCTCCATTAAACATAGTTTATTTCTGTTTGCCATATTATGATTGCTTTTGTATTACTGTATGTTGTCTGCTCAATAACTTAATTTAACTTGTTTAATGTGACAAATAAACCTACCTTCTTCTACCTTCTACAGTGATATGAGTTATATATGTGGAGGGCTGTGACTGCAGGCATGCACCATGTTCAGACAGATAATGATATTTGCAGCAAGCTCAGTTAATTGCTTGGTTTAAAATGTTTAGCATGAGCTTTTAGCAGGTCTTACGAGCTTTAAGTAGGTGTGCACCATGAAAGGTTGAACTCATACTACATTTGGAACATCATCTCCATTGTGTTTTGCTAAAAAAGCACATCGGCTCGGGTGCTAGTCTGGTTTCACCTGGGTTAGGCAATTTATTTCAGAAGCAATTTTTGTTACACAAAAAAGAAAAATAATCCGGTCCAAATAAAATGATTGGCTGACCTACCTGCTAGCTTGTGGCTGAGTAGCTTCGGAGAGAGTGGGTAGGATTTTTTTGGTTGGATTCTTTCAAAATCTAGCTGTCTCTTGTCTGTCTTTCTGCTCCGTTCACATCTCTTATATAGCTGATATACATTAATAACAATATTTAAAACTGAGCTGCAAAAGCTTTATCTTTTAAAATATTACATTTCATACTTTCATATAAATTAATGTATTTTTGGCCAATTTGGGGCAGAAGAAGTCATCAGACACATCTGTCCTGACACCATAAAGTTAATATGACGGATGTGTTAGCAAACAATTAGCTATTTACAAATTCAGCAGACATGGAGCGTTACCATCCTATTTTGCATCCTGTATGTATCTATCTGATGATTGTAACTTCAATATTCACTCTGCTTTTAACTCTGGTTTGGTCTCCATCAGGTAATGAGAAAAAATATCCTGCTCTTTTGCAGCTAAATGTTCCACTTGTTTGCTGAAAACAGCTGCCTGCTGTTGCTGGAAACTTGACTGACGAGAGAACTGTGACTGAATCAGACAGCGAATGTGCTGTAAAACCAAAACTGTGAGCTAAAAGGAGCTAACATTTTCATACACCTGCAGAACTGGTGCTAAATCTCTCTGGTTTTGTCACGGCAAGCGACTTCTTTGACATTACATGTAGTCTTTTGATTTATTGTTAATATAGAAAATAATGATTAGTGAATGAAAACATTGTGTTTCTGCTCAGATATAACTGTTGCAATCTACATTTCAAGTGGAAACCTCACAATTCTCTTCATCACCCTGCAGCAGAGTGATATCTTGCCTGAGATGAGTGTGTCTTTTGGTTTGAGGATTATTGTCTTCTGGCTCGCTGGATGTTTTTGCAAGCCCTTGGGGAGCACAGATGCAATTCTTGGCTTTGTTTTTCAAAAGCAGCGCTAGGTTCCAAAGAATATCCTTGATTCTTTTAAAGCCTTCAGAGTAAGATAAAGTTATAAATCAGGAAGGCAGTTTGGGGAATAGGCCTCTGTGTCAGTCTGGTTTTAATGTTCTTCTCATATCTGACTCTGAATCGACTCAAATGCATCCAGGCAACAAGAAACTTGGGTTAGAAATAAAGGATTGTTTCTGATTTAAATCTATTATTTCCTCAAGTAATTATTGTCCATGTGCACTGATCACTGATTGATCTCTGCAATAGATGAACAGACTGGACACGAACAGTCACTGCAGGCCTTGAGGTTTTTTACTTTTTCCGGCTCGTGATGAATAGATAAATCATATTTGTACCAGACCTCATTCGAATGGATTTACAGAGGATAATGATATTTTATGCAGTCTTCAAATTGTCTCAGAGCAATTTTTCCAGTAGGAATTAACATTTTGCTGCAGTTTTATTAGCTATCATTCCCTGCGGTTACCCTTTCTCATAACAACCCTGGATTTGTGTGTGCATGAGAGACACTTTGTGTGAATGTGCAACATATTTCTGTTGACTGCATAACAGAATTGGATTTTGACTTTACTGTTGTACTTACCCAGCCTTGAAGATAACCAGAATACCCTGCATTTCCCAGAAAAATGAACGTTTCCCAGAGGATTTTTAAAATTTCTTTAACAACCAGAAAATGGATGAAACTCTTACTGCATGTAACATATTTGAAAGATCCAAGGAAGGATAAAATCAAGGGCAACTGGATACTATCCTTGGATACTATGACCTGAACGATTGAGAAACTTCACAGAAATATTAGAAAATGCATACAGCTTGCTGAAGGGCTTCTGAGAAAGTCACAGAACCTGTAGCAGCTCAAGGGATTATGGCCAACAGAGCAGATTCTGTTTTCTGATTCCCCCTGCCCTGGTGGAGGGATTGTATTTTAAAAATGCATCAAAACCATCAAACTATCTATCTATCTATCTAAGATCATGCTGCTATTTAACACATTTCTGAATTGGTTGTATAATTATAAAATAGATAAATCCCCCTTTAGTACTTTTCTCTGTGTAGTCTGCCAATAGGGAAACGTATTGAGACCATGCTGCAGGCGAATGTCCCTGGCTTTGTCTGCACGGAGCCCGTGCCTGCTGCATGCCGTTGACGTTTAAATGGCACTGCCCCTTTAACCGTGTGACCGTACTGCTCATGCTCAGGGCTTTGTGCAAGAGTTTCCCCGTCGCAAACCAGCTGTGGGGCCGGAGAGCGACAGCGGACAGAGCCGATAGAAGCGCCGTTCCGGGAGAGCTGCGACTGGCGCATCCTCTGATAACAAACCCGGGCAGAGGGCACGTCTTTGTCTGGAAGTACATCCTCAAAATAAAGAGAACAGCGCACGACGATGATCTGAAATCCGTGGTTTTGCTTTATCTCCGGGATTACAGTCTTTGACGTTGAGGCAGCATTATCCGGTCGCGGTCGTGTGTTTACATCGGAACCTTGACCACAGTGGAAGTTATCTGGAAGACTTGAGGACGCGCCGCAGAGCGCGTAACATGTTTTTCGATGTTTGTGTTGCTCGGAACGGATGAGACCGATTGGAAATGCGTTTACAGTGTTTTTAAGCTCGAAACTGTTTCCATCAAAGTTTCTTGTCTTTGTCCTGTCCCGCAGCTTTCTCCACAGCGCTCGGTATGTTCTGACAGTGCGTAATTATTGTTTTCCTGCGCCTTTCCCACTGGCGTCACAGGTAGGCTTCTTGAGCCTACCGACACCACTGCTGATGACAGCAGATCACCTCATAGCATAAGGTGACAGTTCGTTTTCTGCTTCGGGGTTGCAGCATCTCAAAAAGACACTGCGCGTCCATCATGGATGATGTTGGTGGAATGCATAGATGCACCTGGACGAAGTCGTCCAAAAGGAGCGCCCGGGACGTCTTGAAAACATACCTCGGGATATTTGTGATGCTTCATCTCGTGCTTCACACGGAAGCCTCCTCTGTGTCCTCTAAGTCCTGCGATAAAAAATGTTTTTCAGGGAAGTGCATCAACGGGAGCTGCGTGTGTGATCACGGATGGGTCGGGGATCAGTGCCAGCACTGTCAGGGGAGATTCAAGTAAGTTGGTTACTGATGTGACATCTGCCACATTCATTTAGGAGTTCACATCTTAGGTTTTTATTTTTATCAGTGTTGTGTTGAAAGTCCAAAACTGAACTGACATCAGGTGTTCGAACCAGTGGGTGTGAATAGCAGGTTGATACATACATTTTTATCCGTAGTAGGCCTATTTAACCTCATTTCAGTTATCTCACTGCTATTTTGGGATCCCGTGCATTTTTATTTCTGGTAATTTACCTGTGATCAGTGAGTAAATGCATATCATTAGATGCACCTTTGTCTTTGTTGTAGTAAAGTCCTTTGGATGTCACCTGTCTCTGTTGTCAGAAAGTATGAGGGGCAATTAATGCCACAGATAAACAAAGATCAAACACCTTCTTGTTCTCTAGTAACTTTTACTGTCTGATTTGTCATTTAGAAATTGCGAAAGCTGACTTTTTTGTCTGTGTACATCAAAAGCAAAAATCTCCAGAAGTTGATATAAGTCATCCATATGTCTGAACACATTGTAGATAAGTGCAAGGAACTGCACAGGTTAAACTGGTTCAATTCATATGAGTGCAAAGCACTTTCTAAATATGACAACATGTAATTTTAATGCCCAGACTGCAGATTGTTGTCTGCGGTGAGTGGTGTGACTGCCTCTCTCACTGTCACACAGTACTACACAAGCTTAAAAGGCCTACTTTGGCTTCCATCTAGCAGTTGCTCTTTAAAAATAAATCAGGATTCAGAAACTGCATGACGGATGTTTTGCCTCTGATATTGTTTGAGACATACTATATTTGGCTGAAATATGACAAAATCTAGGTATAAGGTATATAATGTTACTTTAATGTTACTAGGCTAGTGAGTTAGCGTATTTTAACCTACAGGAGTTTCTGATGGCTGGTACACTCTTTAAAAACACATTTCACAAGTTAAATGTGTTTTAAAGAGTATCCCAATGTTTTTTCACTGCAGAAACAGACAGTCAAGAATTGACTGAACCAGTGTCAGAATATCATAATGAAAATCTAATCTGAAAAAGGCTAACAGCTGGAGAAAATAATTCAGACCACTCACACAATGAGATTGTGTGAGTATGGGACTAATAGACGAAGTTACTCAAAGATTTCATGTTTTACTTTTACAAGAGAAGTGGCTTCAAAATGTGCTGAAGCTATTTGGAGAGAGCAGCTCAAATCATCAGATCCCCCTCCCTTCTTCTTCTGCTGTGGCATTAATCACCTCTCATACCCTCCAGAGAGGATGGCATTACTTTGTCACCATCACCTATAACCTGCACAAGTAAAGACAGAGAGGTGGCAGGACTTCAGTCTGATTTTCTCTCTGGAGGACTGTATCGATTTCTCAGTCGATGTGATTGTTGTGAGAGCGGTGAACAGGGCAGGCTGTAGGATGGACAACAGACAAACAATACAGCAGAGAAGCTTTTCTGATTGTGACTGCCTAGTGGCAAGATAGTGTCCAGTGATACTGAGCACTTCCCACATGCACACACCCCATGACATTTTGCACAGTTCTCTCAAAAAGGTAGAAGAGCTGTCTGAATGAACACATTGTAAGCCTAAAATCTATATTTGGGCCAATTTTTATTGTTTGCAGGAAAAGCCCAGTGAGATGCATCAGCTCATTTTTAAAGACAAGACATTTTACTGGCTATTATATACTGTGCAATCAGGTATCGTGGTTTTTCTGTTCCCATGTTCATCTACCAGGTAGCAACCTCACTGATTTCTGATTTGTTTTCATTTATCTTATGAAGCTGATATCGAGTATGATAGGGCTTCTGTGTGATTCAGGATAAAATCAGGAGAAGCACAAATTGCTGGGGAAACAAAATTTCGGCACAACAACAGCAAACCACTTCAACGCTTTTACAGTGAAGCAGCAGAAAGTATAACAATGGTCACAGATCTTAGAGACCATGCTAATGCATTGGTAATAGTGCATTGGGTTTGAGTATTGCAGGTAAGGGTAAAAGAAGAAGCAGCAGTCACATTGAGCTGGTTAGATAAAAAGCTGCAGGCGACAGGTTTTCACTGTGGTTTGGTTGAACCTCAATGACATCACCAACGTGAACAAAACCGTTCCTATTTAATGCAACATTGCTTGTGCCTGCATTAAGGGATCCTGCCAGTGTTGTTCATAGTATAGCATGATATGTAAGATTGGATTACTTTTTGTTGTGCAGCCCACTGCATGTGTGCATTATGCTGAATTTATGTCATGTTGGAGTTAAAACCAGTCTCTTTGCCTTTTAAAATAGTGTTCAAGTCAATATCCAAGTCATAAATCAGAGCTTCTCAGGTTACCATTGGAGTCCTCTTCCACTCCATGACGACATCACGGAGCCGTGGGATGTTAGAGACCTTGCACTCCTCCACCTTTCGTTTGAGGACGCCCCACAGATGCTCAATAGGGTTTAGGTCTGGAGACATGCTTGGCCAGTCCATCACCTTTACCCTCAGCTTCTTTAGCAAGGCAGTGGTCGTCTTGGAGGTGTGTTTGGGGCCGTTAACTTCATCTTTAGAAGAGGCTTTCTTCTGGGACGACAGGCATGTGGACCAATTTGATTCAGTATGCGGCGCCTGGTCTGAGCCCTGACAGGCTGACCCTCCACCCCTTCAACATCTGCAGCAATGCCGGCAGCACTCATAAATCTATTTCCCAAAGACAACCTCTGGATATGACGCTGAGCACATGCACTCAACTTCTTTAGTTGACCATGGCGAGGCCTGTTCTGAGTGGAGCCTGTCCTGCTGAACCGCTGTATGGTCTTGGCCACCGTGCTGCAGCTAAGTTTCAGGGTCTTGGCAATCTTCTTATAGCCTAGGCCGTCTTTATGTAGAGCAATAACTATTTTTTTCAGATCCTCAGAGAGTTCTTCAGGTGCCATATTGAACTATGAGGAAGTGTGAGAGCAACAACAGAGAGAGAGAGAGAGAGAGAGAGAGAGATGCATTGTACAACGCCAGAAACCGTAAATGAAAAGGACAAAGTTGTGAACACTAGTCGTAATTCAGGAGAAATGTGACCCATGAGAGGACAATGAAATACGGGAGTCTTCCGTGAAAAGTGGGAGGGTTAGCAAGTAGAAGCTACCTGGAGCGAACATCTGTAGCTCCTTATTTACCTTTGTACAACATTGTGCTGTGTCTGACATTGTGTTATTCTTCTACGCATGCGGGTCACTTTTAGGCCGTGGACAATTCACACTGGAGTCTGATATGGGCCGCATTTAAACAACAATGTGAACTGGCAAACAAAAAAATCTGGGGAACAAATCGGAATTGAGCATTAAGGCCTGCAGTGTTATGTGCAGTAGAGGTGGCTGAGCAGGTTGAGAACCCAAGCACAGGACACCAGAGCTAAGCTGATATAGTCCAAAGATTTATTAACAAAGAAGAGCACACTTACAAACTGTGGTTAAGTCCAAATAGAATCCAAAGGGGTGCAAATGAAACAGAGGTCCAAAAACAGCAGGAACAGACTCAGGCAACAGACCAACACTCTACAATGAACCAACACAGACTGAACAGAACACAGGCACTAAGTAGTGAGGCAAACGAGCAGGGCGGGAACATAAAACAGGTGGACCACATCAAGGAGAACGGAACAGGAGGCAAAGCTAGACAGGAACACCAGGCACAGAAGATTACAAAATAAAACAGGAAGTAAAGTACACAAGAACACAAAAGGTTAGAGCTACCAAAGTAAAACACAAACATGGAAAGACCGCAAAATCAGAGCATGGACAGGACTACATGGAGACACAGGAACAAGGACTAAGATAAAAGACAGGACAGATACTAAGAAAACTTAAACATGCGGATGAACAAAAACTAACAATAACATGAACTAAGGCACTGGACTAAGAACTGAGGCAAAGAACTAAAATGCAGGACTAAGACCTAAGATAACAGACAAGACATAAATAACTAGGGACAAGGAACGAGAGAAACCGAGGCAAATAGATAGACATATGAAGCAATGGCAAAACCAGAAACACACAGGGAAAAATACAACACAAACATAACCCAAAACTAAGATCATAACATGCAGTCTGAACGTAGCCTTTGAGGGGACAGCAAATTTACACTATTAAACAAGCTGTACACAAGTATAATTTATTCAGTGTTGTCACATGAAAAGATTTAATCAACTATTGAGGGGTGTGCTCACTTTTGTGAGATACTGTAAAAATAGCTTCTGTAGGCTTAAAGAATAGTAACTCACCTTGTCTGCAGTTTGAGTCCTGGCCTCAGTTTTCACTGTAGTTTTTTTTTGTAATGGTGGTCCTGAAAGCAAATGAATTCTGGACTTTCTGACCCAGTTCAGTCTGTGGTATTCTCTCCTTTCTTTCATGAAAACATGCTTTTGTATTAGGCTCAGTTCATTATCTACTGGAGGTTATTTTGAGGATTGTGAACTAGATGAATCTCCCTGTCAACAACCAATATTGTAGAATCACTGCTGCTCCAAATAGTTGTGTTATCTGAGCGCTTCACAGTACTTGTGGCTACATCAGCTGTGTCTATTAGTGAGGACAGGGCAGGATAGAACTGGAGAGCAGTGGACCAGAGAAAAGGACCTGTGCTTCAATATTACTGCTGTGCCCTGAAAATACTCAATACTAAAGCCTCAGTGGCCACTGGATTGCAGTTGGGACATACACATGTACACACATACACACACACACACACACACACACACACACACACACACACACACACACACACACTGTTGTGTCTCATATCCACACAGACAGATCCAATAAAGGAGACATAGAGAGTAGATTCTGTCTATTGATTTAAGGTATTGGTGCTATGTGTAGTCTCACTGGTCCTCAGTCTCACCCTTTGTTTTCCAATATCGTTTTCTCTTTATCTTTGTTTATTCTCTGCTGCCCTCGTTCTCTTTGTCCAGACTAGATAACCTCTTGCTTGTTCTCACATACAAACTACACACACAAGTCACACTAACACACAAAA